CAGTTTCTATCAGGCACATTTTTCCTTTCTTCATTTTTAAAATTTTTAATAAAAGCTTTCATTTTAGATTAGTTTTAGATTTACAGAGAAGTGTCAGTGATAGTACAGAGAGTTCCTATATGTGTTGTATCTTGTTTCCCCTATTAACATTCATTTTTTTAAACCTAATAATAAATAATGATCAGCATATATCATCTAAAAAGTCACAAAAGTGAGAATAATATGTAGATGTGCACTGTAGAGTTATAATTTTTTCATTTGATTTATGATTACAGTAAGATGTTGTTACTTGCCCAAGGTCAGATTAAAAAAAATTAATGACACATAAAATTAGATACAGAAGAAGATGTGTTAAGTGGAGAATCTAAGAATGAATGAATCTCTTTAAAATGACTTCAAAAGGTATGGAGTCCTGCCTAAAAGAAAAAAAAAATCAGTACTAATATTAACTTACTAATTTACTTTCCAAAATTGTTCTTTTGTAGGATCCTTGCTTATATGCAACATGACCTGGCTTAGTTCCTGGTATATTTGGAAGCTGAGTGAAGACATGCAAGTTGAAAATGCCAGTTTTTTTTTTTTTTTTTTTTTTTTTTTTTGTAATGTGAACTTCACAGAAGGAAATCAGGACAGTGTTTCTTATTTTCAAAGTAATCAGCTTTCATAAACTTTTGTTTGTTTTGTTTTGTGATATTTGGTTGCTACTTAAAAAGGTGAAAGGATATCCATTTCCTTAGAAACACAGCTCTCCAGGACAATCACATATAAAATATCTTTACTAAAATATGATTTTACCTGTTATTTTTATCTTTTCTAAAATGTAAAACATAAGAATATTTTTAATGTGAGACTTTTATCTTGATCACTAAGTAGTAAATGAGATTATATGTGTACTTACAGTACTTACTAGTAGCTGCTGATAGCACACTAAAACTTTCATCTCCTCCTCTCTTTCCTCTCCTGCTGGTTTGTGAAAATCACTTCTCACAGCTAATCAGTCATTATGGCTCTTAGGAGAATTGACAATATGGTGGTGGAGAGAGTTACAGGTACAAGGAAAAGGGGACAAAGGTTCGCTGAGCAAGTGTCATGGGTCAATGAGTGCACTGGGTTGTTTACATGTCTTTCACTGCTTAGAGCTATAGACATCTTGCATCATGGATGTGAATATTCACTTTTTACATTTGAAAATCCTCGACAGGAAAGAGATCTGAACAACTTCCAAAAGGCCACACAGCTTAGGAAAGCCTGGAGGGTAAATATGAACTACCTACCTGCCTGCAATGGAGGCCACTGCTTAGAGGGTAGAATCCCTGCTTCTGAGTATATGGTATGCTCTCAATTTCCATCTTGATGTCTCTCGAAATACTTCTTCTGCCTTTACAAATTTCCCTGTACTTAAGTAACCCTAGATAAATGGGTCAAGGTTGAAGAAGTTTCCTCCAATTAAAATAGAGGACAGTGTAAGTTCTCTGAAGCCACGTGTCAAGTATAATTAAGGCCAGATTTCCCTCGAACTTCCTGAAGCCTCCAGTCAGGGACAAGGGTGTGCTGCTGTGAACCAAGTACAGGCCTCGGACAAGGACAGTGTGACAGTCACGGCTCTTCCCCTAAGTCTGTGTTTAACCCTGAGTTTGTTACAGCCGTTGTATTTTCACTGATAGTTACGCTAAACCTACATCCACAGCATCAGTGGATTTGGGGGATGAGATACTACATGATATAATTCTTTATAAATTGTAAATATCATAATATGGCATTATTATATTTTAATATTTGTTAAAATATCGCCTTAAAAGAAATGCAAAGGTTATTCAGGAAATGGCTTACATAAAAATGTTACTGATTACTAATCGAACATTCAGAATTAAGATAATTCTCACTTAATCCTATCAACAGAAACTGAAAGTCACCCACTAATTTATAACTAAATGTAGAATCAAAATTAAACATTCACAACCAAAAAAATGACCAAAAAGTAAGTTTCCAAGTTATCTTTATCAGTTACCTGCCTTACTTTTAGTCACCTTCTTATACAACAATATGAAAATAAGTCATTTTAGTGTATTAGTTGTACACTTGACATAAAATTTTAAAACCTCATCTATTGTTAGTTTTGGGAATGTATCAATTATTTTCAAATTTATGCCATGAAAAGACCATCTAGATTCCGAAAAACTAAAACAGAAGTAAACTTTTGGAATACAACCTACGTATAATATGGCCACTCTAACAAGCTTTCTAAGAGGCTGGCAATGCTGAGAACTAAACAATGGCTTTTAAGCAAGTATGGAGTACAGAATTGGTATTATAGGTATATGAAATGAAACAAAGAATCTAAAAAGAAATAAAACTGTTCAAATAAACTAGCCTTGCTAAAATTGGGTCTGTTCATATGAGTAGTTAGAAATCACTTATAACTTAAATGTATACCTATAGTGGGATTTTTTAAGGTCCACAGACTTAATTGTAAATTTCATAAACTTCAAAGCAAACATAGTTCATTTGAAATGGGGGAAATTTCCATAGAAATAATTTTGCTTTCTAGATTTCCCCCCAGGGTAGTTTTATTTCCTCTTTCCCATTAAAAATTTAGGAACTAAAAAACCTTCTCTCAAAAAAAAAAATTCTTTAATAAGATAAAACACACATAAAGTTACTTTTTTTGCAAACAGAGATTTTCATAAATCCACTTTTTAAAATTTAGTGTAAACATGGACAAAGCCTTAAAAAATATACATGCAACGATTTCTTTTCAGCCCGCATAATAGCCCGGTACTTGGAGAAAAAAAATTAACTTTTTTATAATTCTGCATGACCGAGTGTCCTTTGAGATTCACCTAGACCTCTTGAGATAAAATCCTCTGGTGGGGAAAAAGTTGGGTTTTGAAATGAGAAACATTATATACAAATCATATTTCTGCCATGTACAACCTTGATGCTCTTGGTTGGACAAGTTATTTAATTCTAAGACTCGGGTTCTTCTGATGAAAAATGAGGGGAATAACAATAACAGGACTGAAGGATTCAATGAGATGACTATAAATAAAAGAGCCTAGTAGAACCTCATAAATGTTAGTGTTTTATGAAATGCAACTGTATCCCTACTACAGTTGCTTTTATAAACTAAATTTATGGGTTGGCTAGATAGTCTATTATACTGAAAATACTGAGTCATAATAACATCTAAGTTCTGAACCCTTCCTATGTTCCAAGGATTGTGCTGGGTATCTGACTGGCATAGCTCACCTCTTTTAATCCTCAGAATTAACTCATGACAATGCACTAGGTGCTACTATTGGAACCATTTTGCAGATGAGAAAAATAAAGTTTAGAAAAGTGAAATAACTCAATATTAAATACTTGTATGCATGCATATAAGCATAACCAATGGACATAAGACACTGGGGCGGGGGGGGGGTAGGGGAGGCAAGGGGATTGTCAAGGGCGGGGGAAAAAAAGGACATATGTAATACCCTTTGTAATACTTTAAGCAATAAATAAAAAATAAAAAAAATAAATGACCAGGATATACACTCAGACACTCTGCAGCCCTCACTTGGTCTATTCCCAAGGTTCTCATTAACTGGCCATTGAAAATATTCACACCAAACAAAAATGGAAATGGGGGCAATACAGGTAAAGAAAGGGATTCCAAATGTGGCCACAGCAGGGAAACACACACACAAACACACACACAAAAACCAACAAAACAACAACAACAAACTCAGAAGAACTGCACCCTACATAGCTTCTTGGAAAAATGTTTTGAGAGAGTGGCTGGTCATCACCTCTCAGCTTTAAGCCTCTGAGGTCACATATGCCATTTCTATAATATCCTGGGATTTTAAAAAGAAATGTTATATGTTGTATGTCAACTTGTCTTTTACATAACCCAGAAGGGTTGTAAAAATAATACCATCACTATAAAAGCTTTCAGAACCACATTAACCTGAATATCACTTTTTTTTACTTGATTTGGAAATCCACAGGAATATATGAATAAGGCACATGAGGTATTTTCTTCTGCATTCTCATTTTTCATCTGAGACTTGCATAGAAAAGGACAAGGTCCTGAACCATAGATCAATTTGCTTGATCTTGTATCATACTATAACTTAAACAGACCCATAACCCACAATTAAGTTTACTAATTGTAAATTATATGCTTTTGAAAGGTTTAATAGTTTCATGAAATCATTGTAAAATGACCATTTGTACTTGTTCTATCATAAAATAAGTACTAAATAATGGCTGAATGGCTAATGACCTGAAGAAATTGCAGCCTCCTTATTTCATAATTTAAGTAGAAAATGAATTAAATCTTAATAAAAAATGTCCTTCATTTTCTTTATAGAATTTATTATTCTTTTATCAATCAAAACATTCATTTCCAAAGATTAAGGTGGTAGCTCCCTACTTTCAATACTTTAATTATTGCTATTCTTTATCTTACATCATGAAATGAGTTGCCATATTAACTAATCTAAATAATAGATTAATTTTGTAGATGTTTAAATTGAGTCAATACACACCCTTAAATTATCTGTTATTTATTTGATGTTATTTTCCATGTAATCTTGTTTCATGGATGTTAATTCTATTGTAAAATATTGTCAAAACTTCACTCAGAAGTCATAGAAAATCACCTATCAATAGAATACAAGAATGCAATTTTCTGTAAGGTTTCTAAATATGATTCTTACTATCTATCTATCTATCTATCTTATAGCTATCGATCTACCTTCTATCTATCTATTCATTCCTTATACCCACCATTTAAAAACTAATTTAAAAGCATGGTTGCTTGTATGGAGCAGTTGAGAAGTTAATCGAGGTACACCAGATTGCCAAGTGGAAAAAAAAATTGAAATAACTTATATGAAATAAATGAAGAAATTCAACAGATTATTAAAAACAAAAAAAGAAGGGTGTAGAACCATGCAACTCCATGAACAGTGACTACACATACAAGCAAATGAAAGCAGCTGACCACGTACCCACACACCTTGGCAGAGGTGCACTCCACACTCGGCGGCCGCCGCCAAGACAGATGACCTCCGATGTCCCTTCCAGTCGATAACCTGATGAGCAGGTGAAGGTCAGAGTGTCACCAACCCCGAAGCTGAACCCGATTCGGTTCCCATATTGAGGAATCCCAGGATCTTCACAAGGTTCAAGGTTATATTCTGTAAATTAGGTGGAGAGGAGGACAAAGAAAGGGATAGTCTCTTTTTAGGAATAGTCTGATACTTTACAATCTGGATGCTTTCAGGGCCTAGCAATACATTTAAAAAGTTAACTATCGTCTAATTAAGGGAACATGCAAATGGCCCACATAATTTTCTTCTTTTGTAAAAGATCTAATAACTTAGTGAACACTTTTATTTGGGAAATTCAATATAGATGATAAAATGTCACCTTCTGAGTGCTAATTTGAAAATGTAGTTATTTATCTTATTCTTTCTTCTGCTTTAGAAACATATCCATTTTGTAGTTTTGTTTTGTTTTTACTTATAATACTAAGATAATTGATGCATATTTTCAAACACACACACACACACAAAGTCTGGAATTACATAATTTGCACTTTTGGAATGCATTTTACCTAATGGCTTTACTCTTATGTTTCCAGTATACAACAAATCCAATTAATTCATCATTTGGAAAACACCTGACTTCAGATACAAGCATTTATGCAAGACTGAAGTGTCCTCACACTGAGAAGTTTTATATTACAGAAGCAATGAATAAACATGAAAATGATCAGCTACACACTCTTCAGAGTATGAGAAAGTATTGCTGATTGAACAACAATATAATTTATATGTCATCCTAAAAAGATGTAGCTTACCTAAAAATATTCCCAGAGCACAAACTGACTATGTAATTGCAATGGCGAGCAAGAGAATTGTTTCAAGTTGATAACCGTTATTGCATTGCTAAAAAAAAAAATATTTGTACATACTCTCAATATTCTAGCCTAAAATTATTTATGCTCATTCACTACTCATTCTGGAATACCTAAATTATGTAAGTATTTCTATGAAAATATTAGAATAATAGTTGAAGAACAAGGTTAGCTTTTGTATGATTTTATATATACTGCTAATATTACAATTTTAATATTAGCAAGTTGGTATAAAATTTGTCATTTCTGAATTAAGAAATAACTACTTTTCCACAATTCCATTCAACCCAGCCATAGAAATTTAACTGACAAGAACAGTTTTTATTTACTCCAGTCTTATCAATTTTTTTTTCTCTAATCCAAGTCATAAAGTTGCCTATAGATGAGGTTATTCTAAAATAAAGGGAGAAGCGCATTAATTATTTATTGATCATCTAGTTCCAAATAAATAAATTGCTTATCTGATTCTTGAAAGACACATAAAACTAGACTATCACTGGCTTACGTCAAATTTTACTTTTAAAGCCTAACTGAAGCTTTAAAACATGCATTTGACTTTCCATTTTAAGTTCACTGGGCATTTTAGCTAGCTTTTCTCTCTTTTAGAATTCTACAGGTGTGTATGTTCAAAAAAAGTAACTAGTGAATTTTTTAGCATATTAATTTCTTTATTCAAAGTATTTCAAATGTTCCTCAAAATTTGTTGACTGTTATTTACTACTTTTTCTTTTTTTTTTTTACTTTGTCATAATAAATAATGTTCATCCTTTTTTTAAAAAATGTGATTTTTTTGTTGCCAAAATAACATTTTTTATTTGACTATTTCCTTACCAGAGAATGTAATATTGAATCCCTCATATGATATTGAAAAATCAGAAATGAAGCGCAACTGAGCCCTGAAATTTCCATAGAGGCCAGCATTGATGGTTGAAGGAAGCTCGGAACCAGTCAGGCGTGCCAGTGGTTGCGTGAAACTCCCGTTCTCGGTGATCAGTAAGTAGTCGTGATGGTCTTCCAAATGAAAGGTGTGGAAGTTGAACTGCACACCTATTAAGAAAAAGAGGAAAATTAGATTTACAACGTATATCAGTAAAACACAGGGTTACCAAAACAACCAATAAGAGTTACCAAACTACCAACAACAAAAGGACCCTGTTCATAACTGATTTCTCTGAAAATGAGAAGCGCTGCTATAAAATATTTCAACTGTATAGTATAATGCTATCCTTTTTTTCTATCAGCATCCTTATAAGAGATATAGTGAATCATGTCTTAGAAACGGCTGAAAATAAAATTTAAAAACAATGACTGAAAAGAAATAAGTCAAGTTTTCTGCACATTGCAAGGAAAACATATTCTTCATCGATAATAGAAGTACAGCTTTCTGGTAAACATTGCACATGCGTCCTTGGGCTCCTATTGCAAACCCCTTGAACAACATAGTGCTCCCTTACAAAGCAGACATAAAGAGGAACTATTTGTTAAATGAATGTACTAGCTCTCTATTTATTTATTTTCCACACACTTCGATCTGTGCATATAATATACTGAAAAATGCTCATTGAATTTTCACAAACTGAACACACCTTTGTAAATGCACCCTAATCAATAGATAACTTTTCCAACAAGCAGAGCTCCCTTCATTAAACTTTTCTATCATTTCAGGAGTTTTTTTAAATGAATAAATTAACTCTTTTTTAAAATATTAGTACAGGCAGATTTTCTGGTAAATAATTTTAAGTCATTTTTGATATATTAGGATGACCACTTCCCCATTGTTAAGTTATTGCCTCCATCACTTACATTGCTAATTTATTATTTTAGTGGTGTTACACAAATGAACCATATTTAGTACTACAGGGCTTTCATTTATTTCTTTAAAGATGTGTTAACATCTATCATATGCACAGTGAAATTTTATACTCCATGTGAGTTATATCTGCAGCTCTGATAGAGAATTTGAGACACAAACATTTCTAGAATAGTGGTAAATTTATATGGTAATAGAATTTTAATAAATAATCATAAAAATTTTAATATTCAAGTAGATATAAACATGGACTTTACAATTAATTGCCTCAGCGCTACAAACTATCTTTGTATTTTTGATACTAACTTTTGAACTTTTTTTTTTAAAATATATTTTCTTGATTTTTTACAGAGAGGAAGGGAGAGAGAGCGTTAGAAACATCGATGAGAGAGAAACATCGATCAGCTGCCTCCTGCACATCTCCTACTGGGGATGTGCCCACAACCTGGGACCTTTCAGTCCGACGCTCTATCCACTGAGCCAAACCGGTCTCGGCAACTTTTGAACTTTTTAATCAACCTCTTAACACTATGCCAGAGACAAAAGCCATCTGTTTAAGATTTTGTTGATATGCAAATTCCAAATAACATTAGCTTAACACATCAAAATGAATGGGTTAGCACTGTTAGCTAGCTAGCATAATTAGGAAGGTTTGGGGAATAAGGAGGGTCCATGGGAGAGGAATACAAAGATGGAGACTTGAAGACACCAGGATGCTTATCTTACTTGTACAGAGAATAGAGAAATGCTCCAGGCAGATGGGAATATTTCTAACCTGAGCAATTAAAACAGCTGTAAACAAGGGCAGGGATCTCTCTAGCCTGGGCAGCTGGGAGATCAAAGGCAAGGGCATATACAAACTGGAGACAAAGGGACATAAGGCAGGATTTTTTTTTTTCCCATTAGAGAAAGAGCAGGCTTTTCCCATTGGGGGCCCCTCCCCATGGGGCCCCCTTTGGGGACACCCTTGCCCAGATGGAGTTTGTGTCTGCTTTTAATAAATGCCTACATTTTTTTTATTAAAGAAGCCTTTTTGTCTGTGAGTTTATTCTTCAAACTTCATGAAGACAAGAACTCACGGGAAGAAAAGTCTGCACCTTAAACCCCACATTTCAAAAAGAAAGTATATCTTTCTTATGGCTAAACATGAGCACATGATAATACTACAGAAAAGTAAATTCAATCCTCTGTTGCAGTTACTCAAAGTGAATGTTACTACTGATCTATTGTTGCTCATGCAAAAATGACAGGGTAAAGGACAATGCAATAAAAATAGATGCAGTAAGAATTCAGAAGATAGCCCAATTAGTATTCTATGAGGAAAATTACCTTTTCCATGGGTTACATCAACAGTCCAAGTACAATTCAGAGAATTTGGATAAAATTCTGGGTAACCAGGTGATAAGATTGTTCCGCTAGGCCCTCTAACATCTCCTCCACATAATGCTGAAAATACAAAGAAAAGCAGGCTTATTAACAGTCATACCTAGAAAGACAGAGGCTGAACAAACCAGTCTCCTCCCTTGAGTCTGGTTCTCTTAGCTTAAGCTACTTCCTGGTAAGTCACAGGAGTGTGTAAAGACCTCCTCCAATCCTGGGAAATCATTTCATCCATTGTAGCAGCACTAGAGAAGAAAAGGGTATGTAATAGCCTCAGAGAATTAGCACTGGCCCCAACAGAATGTAGCTCCACTTGCCACATTTGAATCTGAAGTACATACTTATACAGTTCTAATTATAAGCAACATTTGCATATACCGGTCATGAATTAAACATGAGCAATTAATTGTTTAGCAGCCCCTCTTTTATTAAGATTTAAGAAAACAAATTGTTAATTATATAAAATTCTTCCTTTTAAAGTCTTAAAGGGATAGTTGTCATTCCTCATAGAATTCCTTTTAAAACAGGGAAGTACTAGTAAACTGAAAATTTTGAAGCCTGCTTCTGTAATTTTGCATTTCTCTGGGAAATATCATGAACAAAATGGTATTGATTTTTTTTTTCAGAGAGAGCAAGAGTTTAGATTTTTAAGTAGATGCTCCAGTTGATGAAAATAAATGTGTATGAACTGAGGTCAAATAAATTAAATTTTTATTCAATGTTCATTTACTCAAGAACAAATCACAGTCTATAATGCTTTCTACTTTATTCAATAACCATCAGTGGATATGGTATGCCAAAAAATGTTATCAGTATTGTAGGATGGGACACACCCCCAGGGTGAGCTTTCCTCCCCTAGCACTGCTAGTCATGCCGTGTAACCCCTCTGACCTTTCATATCACTGGGCATGCAGTTCAAACCCTCCCCTGACCTTTCTTCCCCTGACATGTCAATAGTCATGTGGTTGGAACAAAAGGGTCTGGAGATTAGCCTCATATGACTCCCAAACAATTCCCTGCAAGACCACTTTCTTAAGTATTAAGTCTTCTCCATAATGAGGTTCTGACCCACATCAAATAATCTTAGCAACAAAACTTGGGTCTGTTAACCACAGAGACAGAGTTTTGGTCAAACTAAAGATGACATCTAGGCCTCAGTTTTGTTTCAGCTCCAGTCCCAGAAAAGCAGCAAAGCCAGAGGAAGCGACGCCATGACTGACATCAGGACAGGATGTACTGACTAATGACCTCCCATCCTGGTGCCCACCAATCAGTGGAAACCAAGACCCGGAAAGGACACACCTGGGAAAGCTAATGAATGTTCTATTGAGAGTCCCCCCTGAGACTTGTCCTGAAGTCCCCCCCCTCCTTTAAAACCCTTAACAATAAGGACCCCATGTTCTCTCTCTCTCTCTCTCTCTCTCTCTTCCCCTGAGACTTGTCCTGAAGTCCCCCCCTCCTTTAAAACCCTTAATAATAAGGACCCCATGTTCTCTCTCTCTCTCTCTTTCTCTCTCTCTCTCTCTCTCTCTCTCTCTCTCTCTCTCTCTCTCTCCCTCTCTCTCTCTCTCTCTCTCATGCCTGTGCCTTCTCCCTCAGGCGCTTATCTGTGCTTTCTTTCTCCAAAGCTACGTGGGCCCTCCTTTTGACTCTGTAACTTGTTTTCTGAGTCCACCCAGCCCACCTGGCTCACTTTTACCTCTGTGACTTGCTTAATAAACATCCCCTTGTATTTGAGTTCTTGGCTTTGAATTCTTTCTTGGCAAATCTCAAGAACCAAGATCTAACTTCACAGGTAACACCTGGTATTGTTCACCATTAATAGAAAGAATCGATTTTTACTCAGAAATATATGTACACAGAAAATATAATTGAACTCAAAGTACTCTTTCCATATGACATAACTGATAGCAAAAAAGGGCAATGTCCTGTCTTTCAGTCACACATTTCAAGTAGTCTAGAGTATCCATAAACTATTTAAACATATTTTTATATAAAAGTTCTAAAATAAATATGCGGTATCACTGAGTAAACAAATCTAAATTTACACTTTTATTTTAAATAAATTTAGTACACTCTGAATGTGGAGAATGTGGGCTGGAGGCAAAGTAGTAGAAGGCCAGTGCGTAGGATCTGGATTTAGGCTGGCTGAGTTTGAATCCTGACTGTGATTAGCTGGTGGGGTGACACTAGGCAAGATAATGAATCTTTGTTTGCCTTAGTTTTCTTGCCTGTAAGTGTAACTTAATTCTGGCCTGGATTTTCCCCTTGTCTTCCAGGCAAATGGCTTCTGCTACAGATATGCTAATAATTAGAAAAATTCTGCTTGCAGCCTGAGTGTTTGGGAAAACAACCCTATTGTTGGGAGGTGCCTCTCCCAAAGAGGAGGGAAAATAAGTACAAAATAATGACTGTTGATCAAAGTTTTGCAGTGGAGGAGCCTCAAGATGTGACTGAGATAAGCAGGGGTCAGTGAACTGAAGGACGGGGAACAGAGAGTCAGAGATTTCATGCTCTTCCGTGGGTCCCTGTTGGTGCCTTAGATGTCACCAACCAACTCTGCCTTTCCTAAGATTCGGGTAGTCAAACAACAAAGTCTGCTTTTATGCTTTTAAACCAGTTAAAATTGGGTTTCTGTCACAATCACAGGAATGCTATTATAAATGGTACTGTACCAAATACAAGGGAGATATGCTGATGATTTTTTTCAAACCTTGTTATAAAAATAAATTGGACTAAAGCTGCTACTAAAAAATGATGGCACCAACAGTACTTGAAAATTTAATCATAAAATGAACAATGTGATCTTCCACTTAGAAGAGAAAAGCTGGAAATAGTGTTATAAATAAAAACTAAAACCCAGAACTAAACACTGCCTAGATTTACATTGTGTGCTTTTTAATAAAGCAAGTATGAAAGCACTTCCTAATCTTAGGGAAGCAGTTCCTTCCATTGTATTTTCATGTCTTTTCTGAAAAATGAAGCATTTCTGAACTATTCTCCATGGAAACAAAAACTAATAAGGGCACTAGTACACTATTCATCATGACCAGCAACATGCCACCACAGGGCAGTGTGGGTACCCTGCCACCGTGCTGTGTAGCTAGGTAGCAGTTGAATTGGTACATGCTGCCTTCCAAGGTAGGGGGTAAATGCTCTGTTCCATCAGTGCATTCATCTGATACCAATTTGATATTTTCAATGTTATTTTGTCAAAAGGCCCAAGCACACAATATGCACTTAAAATGATTTCCTCAGCTCATTTGAAAAATACATATAGCATCCTTAGGTCTGTGATAGGTTTGGGTGATTATCAATATTCATTCTTTCTTTTCTTTCTGAATGGTTTGATAACATCACATTTCCAAAATATAAAATATTCATAGTTATGTTAAGTCTCACCTTTTATAAAGACTATATTGATTCCTTTTGGGTTCATAAATCAGTTCATTTTGCATATTGAATGAACTCTTACCATCACAGGTTGGAAGTGGATGACTCCACCAGTGGTTTTTTTCACACAGAAGGGGCTCTTCATGGCTTAGCCTGTATCCTGGGTCACAACTAAATGAAACAGTAGATCCGATGGAGAAATCGTGACCATAGCGACGGCCATGTACAGGTATGCCAGGGTCCAAACAAGAATAGGTGTTCACTGTTACACCTGGAAAAAGGAGAGTAAGCTTGATGGGAATCAGATTTGCTGAAATTAATATATATCTTCAACAATTGTGAATGAGGATTTTTACTAATAAATTAATGTAATCACAGCTTTATGTTAAAACCAACAATTTATTTAACAATTTGTTTTGATATTTCCTTTGACATCCCCACAAAGACCAAATTCAGGTCATTTTGTTACATAAGAACTCTATGAAAATATATAGTTATCAAACATTGTATTATTATAAATGATATATGTAATCATAGCATTAACTAATGTTTCTTGAGCTCATTCTATTCCAGGGACAGCACTAACGATTTTGCAAAATTTTCTTCAGTTAGTTGTTAAAAGAATCCCATAAAATTAATTTTACCGTGAACATTTCATTTGATTGTTAGGTGACTCTGACTCTGGAGCTCTTGTCAATAGCCAATACTATACCTAATATTTGTTATGTGTTTTTAAAATTTTTAATCATCTTTTAAGTTGGAAGTTTATCATTTTGATATTTGCCATATATGAAAGTATGATCATCAATATCTTTCTAAGTAAAACTATGCAACTGCTCTTGTGAATACTTGATGGGACTTTCTTTTACCTTTTTTTAAAAATATACTTTTATTCATTTCAGAGAAGAATGGAGAGGGAAAACTGAGGTCTAGAGAGATAGAAACATCAAATGATGAGAGAATCATTGATCGGCTGCTCCTGCACACCCACACTGAGTACCGAGCCTGCAACAGGGTATGTTCTCTGACTGGGAATCAAACTGTGACCTCCTGGTTCATAGGTCAGTACTCAACCACTGAGCTATGCTGGCCAGGATTGATGGAACTTTCAATAACCTATACTATACTATACATTGATGTCTCCTGATGATAATCTTCCTTGAGATTTATAATCTCTAGCTGAGGCCATATCATGACTATGCCTTTCCCTTTAATAAGACACTAGGTTTCAGAACCTTGGCACTGTTAATTTTGGGGCGGCATAATTCTTTGCTGTGGAGCTATACTGTCCTTATATATTTAGCAACATCCCTGGCCTGGACCTTCTAAATGCCAATAGCACTCCTGCAGTTATGACAATCAAAGATGTCTCCAGATATTGTCAAATGTCCCCTTGGATGCAAAAATGCCTCCAGTTGAGAACTGGGGTAAAAGATAAATAATTATCTTACTATTCCTTATAGAGATTTAGACAACAAATAACTACTTATTTTATATTCCCCCAAATAATAATTAGCATTTAAAAAATTATATATCATAGAAGCATAGAACAGACTGCGGAATCTCAGAGGGAAAGTGCAAGAGGTGGGTGAGTGGGAAGAGATCTACCAAAGAACTTGTATACATACATGCATAACCCATGGACACAGACAACAGAGACAATAGGGAGGTGAAGACCTGGGACGGGGCGGGGGGGGAGGGGTAGAAGGGATCAATGGGGGGAAAGGGGGACATATGTAATACTTTCAACAATAAAGATTTAATTTAAAAAATTATATATCACATAAAATCCTATTCACATGAGAAAGTTTTTATTTGTATTAACTACACAATTTTAAACTAAAGCTAAACAAAATATTTAAAAATAAACCCAATTTTAAAGAGGTAAAGAGTACATTTTAAGTGTACTTATCAACCACATTCATTTCATTTAAATGGTGTTGTTTTTAATGAGAAACTAAAATGTGTCAGAAAAATTTATGTTCAACACAATTACTTTGACCTGATATATTCCTCTTCTAAATGTGACCATTATTCTTCTAGGCACCCAGTTCTTTGAAATACTCATTCATCATGAATCCCTCTCAGAATTTTTTTTTCCCCTCTTCAAAATATGTCTGAAATCCACCCTCATTGAAAAGCATAATGCAATTTATCCTCACCCTACGCAAGGCCTTCATCACTTCAAGTCTAAAACACAAACAATAATGTCTGGCCTTTATTTCAGTATCTTTCATCTCCAATCTGTTTTATATACAATTTTGGGCATATACATCCCTAAAACCTATTATTTCATTGCTTTGTACCTTACGTTAATGGCAGCAAGTTCAAAGTCAGCACTCTTAAATTTAAAGCTCCCAAACTGAACTCAATATTCTTAATTTCCATTATTTCCCCATGGTCATTCTCCATTTCCAGTCAGGTGATTCCCTTAATTAGTTCTATGCTTTATTTCTCTGCCAGGAAGACCTTCAATGTCCCCTTATTTTACACAATTGTCTCAATCTTTAATAGACAAGCTCAGATCTCCTCTCCTTGAAGTCTTGATCTTCTAATGCTCCAGTGTATATATGGCTTTCCTTTATTCAGGACTCTTACGTTGGAGTAATATCTTAAGAATTTATGGAAATGGGGGTTGATGGGGTCACACAAAATGTAAATTATGGAAAAAGCAAGATCAAGCCAATTTAATTAATCAAAAGTGATTTTAATTCTTTCAGATTACTCAGAGTAGAGCTCAGTGAATAGTATAAGGTTAATCCTTCGATTTGTCCTTGTCTTTCCAACTGATACATGAAATAAGATGATACATTTCTTTTATGTTCCCAACTGAAATGCACACATCCAGCAGTCACAGAATACATCTAAAGAAATATTTCAAAATTGATTGACAAACAAATAAGTCAAGGCAATGCAAACGTTGCAAAATTTAGGAACTCAAAAAGGTCATGATAAACAGATAGTATAATTTTCTGACAAATAATCACTAAAGTTAGAATGTAATTGCTAGTTAAACAGGTTTAGAGCATTTTTTAGTATTGGAAATATACATAATTTTCAAAGTTCATGTCATTATAATGAAATACATTATCGCTTTCTCATTTATTTTATTTTATAAAACTTGTTTTTACAGAAGTAAAATCTCCAAATGGGTTTTCTGCTAATTTGGTTATTCGATGTGTAGATGAAAAAGGGGCGCTATAGACAGTAACCCCACAGGCTGATCTGGTCAAAAATTCCTATCAGGGAAGGTCATGGTGAGAGTCACACTCCAGGCATATGACTTTTTTAATAAAAGGCTTATCCTGCCTTAACCAAGGCCTGTGCACTGTTTTGGTCCATAGGTTCGCACACCATTGAGATAAGCATAACCACCCCCAGGAGAGCACACAATCTTGTTAGCTGCCCTGTAATCCAATCCTGCCTTGCCTTCCCACCTTCATGTAATCTTCCTTCCCCTCCCTCTTATCTAAATGAATAAAAGAAATTGCAAACTGCCATTCTCTGAGCACTTCAGATCTTACTTTCTGGCAACTGTCGTCAATTTTGACTCAAATAAACTTATAAAAATTCTCTACAAGTTTGGACTTTCTTACCCTGACATATGTGATAAAAACATGTAATCATTTTAAGTCTGGGTTTCTCTACCCCGTCCCATTATAACAACTGCTAGTTAAATTGTACATTCTTTTTGATGTCTAGCGTTTTCCAGAGTTGGAAAAAAGAATAATATCGACTCGTGAATATGAAAAATATGTCTTTAGAGATGGGTCTCTGTAGCTACGGATTGGCTTTGCACCCATTTATAAATATATTGTTTTATAAAATATTCAGATCACCAAAGACTTAATTATATTTGTATTTTAAGAAATATGACATAATAAACAAAAGTATTTTTTTCCTGGGGAGGGGGAAACGGTACAAAAACCAAAAAAATGGATTATGTTCCTAAAGTCTATTCTATGTTGTCAAAAAATCTACTGCTTAGTTTATTAAAATATACAACTTGCAAACTATTACCATTCTCACAGGTCAAGGAGAGCTCCAATTTTTTTAAAAAAAATCTAGTTTGTTAAATAATATAATGTTAAATTTA